TCATATTCTCGTAAGATTTATAAGAATTTTGAAGTGTTTATACTTTATACGATACTTTTACAGACAGTTTTTTACTAGTCATAAAATTCACAAAAAAATCGTATATATTTACAAATAATCTCACGATACATACGCATAAAATTAAAGAATACTGGTTATAAGTTCTTAAGAGTTTTACGAGAACAGTTACGAGTTTTACTATTCTACTTAGAATTGACCTATTAATTTCTTCTATGAATAAAAATTAAAAATAATTTTGTTTCAAATCGATTCTTTTATAATAAAATTATTGTATAAGATTGAATCTTTAAAAAATAAATTTTTAAAAAATTGTTGCATTTAAAAATACATTGAATTGTTAGAAAATATATATTTAATAATAGTATTTAATACATATATAAAGTATATTTAAGTTGTTAGAAAATCTCGCGTCTGAATAATATAATGAGACATAAAAAAATAACTTTCTAAATCACGTATTAGCTACCAGAGTGACATATTTTTCAAAGAAAAGATAAGTTTCTTGAAATAGATAGGAATAATTATGAACATCTTTTTTACTTATCTTTTATGTAATAAATGTCATTTATGTAAGAAATATTTCTAAACGTAACTTAATAATGAAATAATTTCTAAATGTTTTAAACAAATATTTAAATGAGTAATACGGAGATGACAATTGATTATGTATCAGAGATTGTAATTTTATTATATTATTTCTTTCACGTAAATATATATATTATTTTCCAGTAGTAAAACAATATCAGAAAATCTTTTAGCAAAATTTTTCCAAATTCTAAATCCGTAAACATCTAATGATTGTATTTCTCTTGTATGTGCCTTTCGGTATAATAAAGTAATAATATGTTTTCCTGCAGATGTTAAATCTAAAATAATATTAGGACAATGTCCAGTCCATGAATCGATAAGAAGAACACTATTAGAACCAATATTTGGAAAACAAGCTTCTTTTAACCACCACAAGTTATTTCTAATAAATAATATAATGAAATTATAATCTCTGTGTCATTTCTATGATATATTTTATATTTCATTTAAGAATCTCAAAATAGTCGTAAAATAGTTATTAATTTAACATTTATATTTCTTACAGATCATTTAAAAATATAATTAAAAGAAGTTTATTTTCCAAACATCGGTTCTAATAGCGTTCTTCATATCGATTCATGGACTGGATTGGGACATCGTCCCAATATTATTTCAGATTTACCTGCAGATAAACATATTACTACTATAATTATACCGAAAGGCACTACAGGAAAAAATATAATCATTAATTGTTTACGGATTTAGACTTTGAAAAAATTTTGCTAAAAAATTTTCA